AAATTCCCGCTTTCAGAAAATCGTCTTTTACTGGGAACAAAACAATAAACAACAAATGTTACTGCAAGAAAGGATAGTTTTAACAGTTTCCTAGATACATTTTTAGACAGAAACCTATGGCTGTTTAGTGTTTCAATGCGGAGGTAATTTTTTTTGCCTATCTGTAGGCGGCTATCTAGCGGATATCAGTACTCTCTTTTACTCACGCGACTGGCGCCGTCACAACGGCCGTAGGGCTGGTTAGCGCGAGGGCCGCGTTCTTCTCCTGCGGCGCTATGTTCTCGCGGTTCTCCATCTCATCCATGCTCGGCGCTGAAATAAGCAATGGCGCAGTGTGGTCAGGGCGAGGGTTTCGTCGTCAAGTCAGAAGAACAAATAGCTTTAGCGACATTCCCGTTCAAATATCCCTCGCCACCGTCGTGGGTTATTGGAACTGGGGAAGTTTACATTTTAAAATAGTAAATTTACCATTCAAACTCAACTGTGATACAGTCTAACTGTTGAAGGTGCAATAACAGGTGCTCACGCGTGTTCAACGACCACACTTGTATTACACTCAGAAGTGTTGAACCATAAATGTCTTGAACTTTCAAATGTCAGACCATACGAACCTCACACTTGCAAGCGGCTTGCGGTCTGTGTGAAGCGGAGACTCACACATTTTCTGACACTTAAGTGTGATCCGTGTGTGGTAAGACACTTGAAGGTGTGCGAGTGCGACACGTGCACGGTAAAAACGATGTCTCGTTTTTGGAGGGAAAAGGGAAAACTTTGAGGAACTTCTAAATTTGAGGAAAACTCCTCCGATCTCGCCACATTTTTTTAAGGAATCTTCTCAAAAAATGTGGAAAAATCCCACATTTTTTTTAGGAGACTTCCTCGAAATCTGGATTTCCTCGAACCATGGGAGATCCTTAAAGTTTTCCCTTTTCGCTCAATAAATGAGACATCGTGTTTACCGAGTGTGGTCCTGCAGCTTGCAGCTTGCACCCTGACAACTTTTAGACTGTCTCACACTTAGCTTGCACAAGTGGCGTTACTTACTGTGAGCAGCTCCTTCCACCACCCGGCGCCCCTGCCACTTACTGTGCGCAGAGGCCGCGCTCGCGCCGAGGCTCGCGCCGCTCGCACCCTCCACCACCCGCCGCTGCTGCCGCCGGCTCGGCGAGCGCTCGAAGGCCGGGGGCGCCCTCCGTCCGGCCTCCACGTCGCCACGCGCCTGCTTCTCCGTGCGGCCGCTATTGGGGAGAAGAACGATAGGTTAACACCCCGGAACAGAAAAGGTTAGGTAGTTGTAAACAATTATCACTAACTGCATCAAGCCCCCCTCAATTGATGTCATCTTATAGCAAAGTTAGTGGTATGAGAAAGTTTACTGTACAATATTTTATGACTACAATGAAAGTAAACTGACTGATTTAACACTCGGAATCGCCTAATAGAATCGGAAAATTATGACATTTTTAAAAACGGGATTGAAAGACCTTCACGAAATTTCAATTGGCCCTTTTTCAGTTTCCGAAATGTTTTGATTACTTTCACAGTGAACTACTTAGACTGGATTCTTCCACAGCAGAGCCCCTACCTGTACCGAAATCGGGAGCTCAGCCTGAAAATGTCGTTGGGCGCGGGGGAGACTCGGACTAGCCGGAAGAAAGCGTGGTGCTCCACGCAGCACTTCCATAGCTGTTTGCAGGCCGTTCGGGAGGGCGTCTCGAACCCGTACGTGCTCTCCTCGTTCTGAAATAACACAGAGTAATTAAATCTGCTGCCAAACTTAGATGTTTGAAAAGATAGGCTAGGTGGTGAAGAAATCTCAGCGTAACGATTTGGAGCGGGACTTACATTTTTATCACAGACTCGGAGCATAAAGTAGCGGCCCTTGAAGTAGATTTTGGTAATGCGTGGCCAGTAATAGTTGCCCACTTTGTTCTTGTTCCTCAGGACAATGATTCCACTAGGCGTCAGCCCCAGGAAGTACTCCACGTTATCCTCCCCCTAACGCACAAACAGGATTAGACAAAAAGGTTAGGCAAAAAATTAAGATGTATTTTTTGTGCTTTTGTCGCAGCACCCTTACCAGAACGGGATGCAGATCCACGCCATACATGTCAAGCCACTTGACTCGGTCCAGGTAGGACAGCTCCGCGTCCGCTGGTAGCTGACCGCTGAAGGGCAGCGTCGAGAAAGCAGATTAAAAAAACAATATTCCGGTAAGTACCCCTACAACAGCCTATTTGAACCGTCCCCCTTTCTCTACTTACACCAGTCCCTTGTGCAAGTCGGCGATCCTGCTCTCTAGCTCGACAGACTGGTTGGAGACGAAGCGGAGCTCGGACACGTAGCCCGGGGAGTGGCGCCGCGGGTCGTAGTCCCCGAGCTCGGCTGTGCATAAGACAGAGAACACGATTAGGACCGTGGAGACGAATATCATATGTTTATGACGAGGCCCGACCAGGTTGCACTTACATTGTACGACGAACGCTCCAAGCTCCGCTGCCAGGTCAAAACTGATGGGGAGACGACCCTGCAGGATGTCTTGCTTTACTTGCAGGTAAAACTGATACCTAGAATCAAAATTCAGTTGTTTCAAAACAAGTCACACAAGAGTAGTTGTTGCGGAAGGTATTATACACTCAAGTAAAGGTGACGTACCTAGTGATCTCCTCCAACAGTTTGCAGGGATCTGCCGCGTAAAACTTGACGCCAAAGTACAATGTGCACGACAGAGTGCCCTTGAGCTCACGAGCAAC